CCCTAAGCTTACCGCATGTAATATATTTATAAGCTTAACTTTGAACCCTAATCCTTGTAACGTTAAAGCCAGAGCCCATCTCGGCCCATAAACCAACCTAGGATATATACCTACGTCGGCCACCCATGTGAATTGCAAACCTAAATTCACGTGGAAAACAGAAAAACTAAATTCCATTAAATTCAAATTTTCATTAAATAACAATGATTAAACAATTAAATAAACATAATTAAATAAAAATGATTAAATACATAATTACCAAAAACAATTTAAGCAAATAATTACATAACATGACTAATTAAACAAATAAACCATTAAGCAACTAATTAAATAAAACTATTACGCAAATAAGTAAATAAAATGCAAATAAACCACAAATTAAATTCCAGGAATAGCCTTTTAAAATTAGGTGTATTACATTCGAGGATGATGATAGTAGAGGCATTATGGCATGATGTTTAGTACTGATAAGCAGAATAATTTCAGGTATGATCCGAGGATGGATTAGAGATTGTGAGTTGTTTGTTATGTGTTGTCAGGTAGGTGATGGGGTTGTGCGCTAGTCGAGGCGATTATGGACTATTTAGCCTTTTAGAGCCAGTGGAGACGATGTTGCCAAATAGACACCTTTTTCTTTTGACGAGTTAGTGGGTTGTTGTGACTAAGGTCACGAGTCGGGTGTGCACGGTGATCGAGACAATATCGTCTAGGAATGTAGTAATGGAACGGGTGCTAAAGTATCATTTTATGGCATATGGGTTGTCATTTGTGAGTGACGGGATGTGGTGTCTGATGGGTTGTGATCATTTCTAGTGTTGGTATGTTATGAGCATTGATGCTCTTGTCAGATGGTTGTGTTGTGAGTTGTATCTTAGTACTCGATGACTGGGTGGTAGGGATCTGATTGGTTTTGGTTAGCATGGGCGTTGCGGGGTATCGTATGCGAGGTTTCTGTGTTGATAGAGTATGACGGTCCATTTGTGGCGAGGTTGCCTAGAATTGAGTTCGTAGTTCTGTACGGGTATCCATTTGATTCTTCTCTTTGCGTGTAAGGAGTTTAGTTCATCTCAGGTGAGATTGGGTGTCTATGGTTGGACAGTTGATGTGTAGCATGTGACAAGGTGTCAGGTGCATTCAGGTGCGAGTCGTTAGTCTTTTATGAGAGCTGGGTTTGTTACCCTTTCCATTTGGTTCTCCTTTTTGTGTATAAGGAGTTTAGTTCATCTCAGGTGAGATTGGGTGTCCATGGTTGGACAGTTGGTGTGTAGCATGTGACAAGGTATCGGGTGCATTCAGGTGCGAGTCGTCAGTCTTTTATGAGAGCTGGGTTTGTTTCCATTTGTTCTAGTCCTAGCAAGGACGTCGTTTGTCGTGAGTCTTGTTTTCCATTTAGGAGTTGTGCGCGTTCTTGGGTGGACGGACCTGTGTATGATTTGTTATGTTGTTGAGTTCATCGGTAAAGGTTTGGTTGATTTGGTTGACTCATTCCCACGGAGGGAGATATAGTCTTTGATTTTAGTAGTACTTGTTTTAAGGGTGGTTTTGACGGCATGAGTTGCCGAATAGGGATTGTGTTTTCGGTGTCTAATACTTTCGGTGATGGCTAGGGGTGTGTTATGAATTGTAAGCTTGAGGATGGTTAGGTGATGTAATGTGAGTCATGTACTCGGATGTTTTTATAGGTGTTTGATTCGAGCAGTGTCTTGAGGACAAGTGTCGATGTCGCCTTAGAACTACGTGATTAAAGAAAGTGAATATGGGATTCTGTTGAGAAATAATGGGAATGATTGATTTTGGTTTTGAGGTTTCAGGCATGAGACAGTCGTATTGTGTGTTTTAAAGAAATAAGAATTGAACTGAATGATGTTATGGAGTCGTCTACCTAGTATGGGTGTTATGAGATCATTAGAGAGTTTTTATGTTGGTCGATGATTGTGACGTTTGGTGCTGTGTTATTACTAGCTTGTTAGGGTTGCATGATTAAAACATGATTGGGATTTTTATAGTAAGTATGTGACTGTTTAGCCATTGTGGTTACGTAAAACGATGGATTGATAGTGAGTGGATCTCATTATTGTTTTGTGGACTGTGTGAGATTGTGTTTAAGGTTTGGACCTGAGAACAGGAACGATATTTGTGTTAAGACCAGATCGATGATAGGAATGGCCTGGCCAACCATTTCTCCTGAATCAATCCCTCTTAGCACGATGTCCGGTCAAAGATCAATGATTGTTTCGATTTGTCAGGGATAGTGAGAACACGGTATTGCGCGTTATGTCGGTGTGACAGTGTGTATTCGGGTGGTTTATCTCAGGTGACGAGGTGTGTTAGGTAGGACCAAGTGTCCAATAAATGGGTTTGCGGTATGATCGTTGATTATTGAAGATCTTGTTTTGAGGATTTGAGTCCTGGGTACAGGATAATACGTTTTATTGTTTTGGTGACTTATGATTATGTAGTCATTAGGAGATCTGTCGTTTAATCATCTTGAAGTTGTTTAGTATGATGATTGTCGTATAGTGCGGTTAGTAGTTGCTGTTGCGGTTATGTGATGGTATAGCTATGCAGTAGATAGCGATTGCTTGGTCTGACAAGGATGCGTAGGTTTGAATTTGAGCTTGATTGTGTGATGGACGGGGTTCTAATCTAGGGTTTTGTGTGTCCTTTAAAGGATGAGTGGAGTTTGGATGTTGTCATATTTGGTGGTCTGATGACTGTTCTTCTTTCGTGTTTTGGAGCCTTTCATGGCAGTGTAGAGTGAACCGATGTCTATTGTAGTGTAAAACGTATCAGTTGGTTTTGTGTTCTGATGTTGTGAGTGATGAGTACACTCATAAGATGGTAAGTATTATGATTGCCTGTTGACGTCCGATGTCAAGGCAATGAGGTTAGTGAGCTCTTAGTCTTGCAGTTTGGTGGGGTGTTTCTCAGAAAGGCGTGTTGCCGTGAGTTTTCTTTTAAGGAGGGTAGATTTCAATGACGAAATCTTTTTAAGGAGGGTAGATTGTAATATTTTTTTATTTTTCTGATGGGCCCCACTTTGACTTGGTCATTATAATGACCAATGATCATTTTGTAGACCATTTTTCTCTTCTCTCTCTCTCGGCAGTTTCTCCTCTCTCCCTCTGTAATTTCTTTTTTCTTTCTCTTTTCACCATTCAAAGCTTGATCCTCACCATTCTCTTGGGTATCTGGCTTTGTCACTTGAAGCAAAGTTGACGAGTGCGTTGAGGCCAACGTTTTGATCGGAGCAAAGTTCAATTTGGCCACCATTTAGGATTTCGATTTTTTGGTTCAATTTTAGGCTTTTTCTTCTAGTTGAGGTAGGGGTTTTCTAATTCACAATTTCTTTGAATCTTTGTGAATTTTTCCTTCTAAAGTTGGTCATAAGCATGCTTATTTTTAGTTATTTTGATTATGGTGATTGTATTTAGTTGTGTTCATGATGTTAAGTGATGTGGTGTGTTAATTGAGTCTATGAATTTAATTAATTTGTTGTGATGAAAAGCATGCTCAATTATGACAAGTTGTATGTAAAATATTTGTCAATTGCTATGTAAAATTGGGATTATTAATTGTGGAAATAAATGTAAAATTGAAATTATTAGTTGTGGAAATAAATGTAAAATTGGGATTATTAGTTGTAGAAATAAATTTAGAATTTCTTCTTAAAATGTGAATATGACGTTGATGGAATTTGTAGAATTTAATTGTTGGATTTGTGAATTGAAAGTATGTAAAGTGCCATAATTTGGAATATGAGAATGCGATATGGTGTGAAAATTTATGTTTTAAAACATGCTTAAATGATGCGGATAATATGTATGAAATTCTATGTTGTCATGGTATTGAAGAATTGCATAATTCATGCATTGTCATTGGGAAAGTAAGGGGAAAAGTTTGTTTTAAAAACAAATGGAATTGTTTTTGGGAATTTTTTTTTTCTAAAAGTGTTTGCGAAAACCGGACGCATAGGAGGCGCCTAGTGGTTCGTGGTGTTAGTGTAGTCTAGAGAGGAGTATGGTTGAGCTAACTAGGCCGGATGCGACGCCTTGGAGGTGGCTTGTGGTTGTGGATGGTTAGTCAATCCTCCTTTCGTGATGCCTTGAAGGTGCATTGGGTCGGATTACACTAACGGTTTGGAGGTTGAAACGGAAATGTTTCGGAATGGGGAGTGATACGCATGACATTGCATTCCATAGCATGGCATAGTGTGTTACGACTTGGATGGCATGATCACAGTTCTTTTTCCTATTCCTTATTTGGATTCATAGGGTCACAAGAGGTGTATCTTAGGCACCACCTACTGAGCAATTTGTTCACCCCATATATTTAACATTTTTCAGGTCATGGGAAGGAAGTGGCGGACGACGCTCTCCACAGGGTTCGATGGGTTAGTAGACTGTTTTAACATATCTTGTATCTATGATCTCTTTTTATTATTATTGCTATTATTATTTATTTATTTATTTAAATCCTGGGATGACACGTATATTATGTATTGACGTAGGAAAGGACGGTAGTGTTTTTAGTTGACTTCGGGTTCAGATAAGAATCCGGTTAGCGATTCGGACTCTCGAGTTCGGGTCGTTACAATTTTAACTTAATTTTTGTAAAACAATTTCGAGAAAACTGTCAACTTAAAAAAACTTATCCACATTTTTAAAATTTTCAGTTTTCTTAAAAATAGAAAACAATTTTTTACAAAAGTGAACCAAACATACCCTTGATTGTACCCAATCAATAATAAGTTGATATATAACAGATAATGTAGCCCAACCAACATTTGCATCCCATGATAAATATTAGGAGGCCCGAGCCATTTATGAGGAGCACTCAAGGTCTCCAAGCTAATTGATTGACAATTTTCAAATTCTCTACAGATTTTTTGTTATATATATATATATATATTTATTTATTTATTTATTCTGTTGCGACAACTTGGGTTACATTCCCATGAGCATTAGCAAGAAAAAGTAACCAAATTGGCAAACCTTCATTTCATTATCACACATCAAAAGAGAAGTTTTTATTATTATTATTATCATCCAAACCAAAACATAGAACAGATTCATACCACTACCAAAAATACATAAATAAATAAATAAAAACAACACCACATATTATATGGAACTACTCATGCATGAGCACACAGTTTAGGAGAATGGTTTCTTGGTCTGCATTGGGGACTCTAGAGTTCATCCTTAAGAGAAACTTTCTTAGGATTGTCTGAGGACAACTTGATGGGGTAGGAAGCCTCCATAGCTATACCACACAGTCCCTCTTCTGCATCGATCCCGCGTTGCATTCTTATGTAACCTTTTTCTCCCCATTCTGGTCCCCATGAGTTCCTAACAATCCAGTATTTCGTCCCATCAAGAGTCGTTCCATACCCAACAATTGCCACGCCGTGGTTTAGGTCCGTCCCACAATCCCCAGTAAAAACTCCCTGCAAGTGCACAATCCAACAATTAAGTTGGTTCTACTAAAAAAAACATGTTACATTAAAATTAGTATTATTATGCTATTATTATGTTAGTGACCTTTTAAATCATATTATACAAACCTTGCCTACATCCCTAATAATACTACTAAAAGCTTACCTCCGAGTAGAATTGGAAATCAGAGCCCCCTGCATCTAGTGCAACAGATACTGGTTGGTTAGCAGCAGCTTTCATCAAGGCATTTTCGTCGTTTGCTGGTACATTTTCGTGCCCATCAATTACCACAGTTGGATAATTCGTCTACAAAAATCAACAAGAAAACAGAATCAATACAGACACTTAGTATTCTACGCTTTCTTAATGTTATTAAAAAGATAACAAGAGATATTATACCTTTGATCCATCACAAGTACCATCTTTTGCTTTGTAAGGGTATGTGCCCTCGGTTGTTATTCCACCATTTTGCTTAATGAACTCGTACGCGTTTTCCATTAATCCTCCATTGCAACCTTGGTTATCGGTGTCACAATCCACCAGTTCTTGCTCGGACAAAGAGACTAGCTCCTTTGTCTTGATTTGGTTGATACCCTCAACCCCAACTACTGTTGAAAATGCCCAGCAGCTACCTGAAAAATAAAAACAAATGTAGTAGTAAATTGCAAGCAATATGAGAGATGTAACAGTAGAAGTAATAGGACAGCTGCATGAAGTGACACATTATCAATGCAAAAGATTATGGTAACGTTTTTTATTTTTTATTTTGTCATACTGATTATAATAAACTTTGAAGTGATTTTGTTAAACTAAAAATATTTCATCTGACTGAGACTTACCACATTTCCCTTGGTCCTTGACAGCATTGACTGCTCCTTTCTTCCTCCAATCAACAGACGTCGGCAGATTGGCAGTCTTTTCGTGGATGAATCCGCCTGTCCCACCTCGGCTGCCACGGAGCATCCTGTTGTGTTTAACCTTGGAACCGGCATACGAGCTTCTGAACTCATGGTTGGTCATATCAGCAAACTTGTTGAGTTTCAACTTGTAAGGCTTGTCCATCTTGTTTACCTTGTGAACATGCTTAACATTCTCCTTGAACACATTAAAGCGCTTCTGTTTCTCGTCAAGGTCTCGAGAAACTGTGTGGTGGCTCCTCCACCTCTCGTACAAGTCCCAAAGGCTCTCTTCGGAAGCCAAGTCTTTTTCAGTGAACTCGATGCTCTGGACCAGCCCCAAAACCAGAGCCAGTGACAGAGCCACCAAAAAAAACTTACCCACCTCCATAAATATGTTTCTTAAGAAGATGACAAATTCAGAATTTAATTTGGAAAAGATATAGAAATGGGGTATGAAATTTATCAAAGATATGAAGTTGATGTGATCTTAGTAAAGCAGGGATGTCCTTATATATAGAATGTGGTGGTATAGGTACAAAATAAAAAAGACTTGGATATTAAGGTTTCTTTTCTGTTTAAAACTTTAACCTGAAAATAAGGGAAAAAGGGAATTTCCTTTTAGACGCTATTCAATTATTTTGAGGGTTGGGTTATTGAGTTCATGTCTCTACATGCCAATCACATCACAGTGTTTGTTGAAGGTGACGAATTGATTGGTTATGTTGTTATAGATATTTTAAGTCACGATTTCTTCCTCAAAAACTGTTTTTGCTTTTTGTTGGGTTGCAATAGCTTTCGGAAAGTTTGCAAAACGGTATGAACTTTTTTATTTTATTTCCAGAAAAGGTGTGTATGATTTTATGGTTTCACTGGAATGTTGAATTTGAGTGCAGAGAACTCATATGTCACACACAAACAAGGATCAGGACGAAACATTAAAGGGTCTTGATGAAAAGCTGCAAAAAAAAAAAAAAAAAAAAAAAAATTATATTTCATAATTTATATCCTATATAATAATATTCTCCATTAATCGAACAACAAAAATTCACAGTGAACTTTACTGGAAAAGTTAGATTTAAAAGCACTTTGATTTATATTTCCAATGTGGCTTCTTCACTTAATATTTTCTACCTCATTCACCAGTTTCAAATTTTCCGAGCAGACATTCCTATTGAGAATATTTTTAACAACCCAAATTGATGCTCGACTATTGTCCATTCTCGCTAATGAAGGATGCTGGTACAAACAAGCTAAGTACAAGCTTAACTTTTGGTGTTATTTGAATTTAACTGTTCTCATACTCGGCCAACAAAATTTTAACCTCTCCACCAAGCAATTGCTCTAGCTTTCTTAGATCCATACAAATCAAATTTCACAAAAAGGCGCACACAATATAGAAGCAATGGCAACATATATATATATATATATATATATATATATATATATATATATATATATATATATATATATATATAATGGCGCACACAAGCAGGAATCAGAAAACTCAGAAGAAACTACATGTTATGGATGGGAAAAGTCGAATCTGGGCTCTCACATCATTCGGGAAGTGCCTCTACTAACCCAACTCACCCTAATATAATGGCTAGTTTTAAAATGTTTTTATTTTTTTGTTGGTATTCATCAGTACCCGTAATGTAGTGTGGAAAAATGTAAAAACACCAAATTGGTGTTTTTACTTTGGACCATCGTTTACTAAACGTTTACAATACATTATTTACCAAACACATTGCAACCAAAAACACTGTTAGAGTGTACTGACTCACGACAAAAATACAGAAACAAAAATGCCAATCAAACTGGACCTAATCTGTGCTACTTTCTCAGTATCTGTGGTGAAAAATATACAGGATCTTAACTTGTTCATCATTCTAAGATTCTAAGAGTGAGTAGTGACAAGCAGTGAGATTCCTACTTGAAATCATTTTCGATATTCCATAGCATATGGCATCTCCTGGCCGCTCATGACACGACAGATAAATCCAAATCAACCAAGTTGACTTTTGTTTGAACCATAATTTGACAAACTCAAGGCCCAGTTAGTATCCCTGTCCTCGACAAATTTGTCATTATTATCAGTCTTCATATTGGCATCATACAATATGGTATATAATTGAATGATTAAACTATGACAAATATGAAATTGATTACGACTCAGTTTCATATGATTGGCAACGTAGCAACCGCTAATGGAAAATAGAACACAGAAATGTTCGACTGATAACATGTTTTTGTAGTATAAATAATTTGGAGTTGAAAGAGAATACTTGAGCTTAAGAAAGTGAACTAGGATTTGGAGAAGTCTTTGTTTTATGTTGCCATTGAAATGGGGAGCAAAGGTGGCATGTTCAGGTACGCTGATGGCGTCGACAAGTTGCTAATGTTGTTTGGTACTCTGGGTAGCATCGGAGATGGGCTGATGAATCCACTGACTATGTTTGTTCTCAGCGGCGTGATCAACGAGTATGGAAGCGCTCAACTTTCAATTTCTATTGATGTGGTAAACAAGGTACAAACACTGATGACACAAACCTAGCTTTTCTTGCCATGTTTATTCCCAGCTTTTTGGAAAACACAGGAGCTCCAAACAATGTCTAAACTGCATAAATAGGAGAAAATCTCATCAACTTCTGTGTGTTAAAATGAATTTACTGTCAAAAGAGTATAATATATAGATCTTAGTTTTGAATCATTCACTACTTGCATTTTATTTTCCGATACATTACTAACAATCTTATACATGCCCCTTTCACAGTGCTGCATTTTATTTTCCGATACATTACTAACAATCTTATACCCCTTTCACAGTACTAACAATCTTATACCCCTTTCACAGTACTCACTCAGGCTGCTCTATGTTGCCATTGTAGTGGGAGTATCTGCTTTCGCTGGTATGTATAATACTAATGGTTCAGAGTTTAGCAATTTCATGTATAGCAATTTGGGGCAGGTCAAAATTTGCTTAACGGGAAAATTATTCATATACAAGAAAAAAAAAAATGGTAAATTCAAACACATAAACATGTATTAGAACTTCATTACGAGGAAAAAAGTAAGTAAGAACGAAAAAGTTATATATAGTTGTATTGCATACTGGTCAAGCACGTTCAGGGCCAAATTTGAACCTTTTTTTGCCAGACCAGTTGATTAATTCAGATTTCAAGTTTTCAACATTTGCTGGTTTTACATAAAGCCATCTATGTAGTTCAACCTGTTGTTGTCACTGTTACGGCCAGATTAAATTTAGTCCAAGATGCAATCAATCAGTGTTAAATCCAATAATTGCCAAGAAAAAGGGAAAGGAGGAACAAGAGGAATTTTATTTCAGTATAACACTATTTGTGACAGTTTAATTACCTTCTTCATTCGGTTGCTATACACAATGATCTTGCAGAGGGTATTTGCTGGACAAGAACAGCAGAGAGACAGACATCTCGCATGAGAATGGAATATCTGAAATCCGTCATGAGGCAAGAAGTTGGTTTCTTTGACAACCAAACAGCTTCATCCAATACTTTCCAAGTTGTTTCTACCATTTCCTCTGACGCACATTCAATCCAAGACGTTATAGCCGAGAAGGTAATAAGCTTTTCTCAAACACCCTTCTCATTCCCTATCTCATACTTCTTGTCGTTATTCTTGTTTGTGAATACCAACAGGATATATGTTATATCTTCTGCTGCAGATCCCCAACTGCCTGGCTCACCTCTCAACATTCATATTCAGCCTTGTAGTAGCCTTCCTAATATCATGGCGATTAGCATTGGCAGCTCTTCCATTCTCACTCATGTTTATCGGTCCAGGAGTAGGATTTAGGAAGCTTATGACGAGCCAAGGGATAAGAACAAAGGATGCCTATGGTGTTGCTGGTGGGATTGCAGAACAAGCAACCTCATCAATCCGAACAGTTTATTCATACGTGGGGGAGCGTCAAACACTTGATAGGTTCAGCCGTGCACTTGAGAAGAGTATGGACCTTGGTGTAAAGCAAGGACTTACAAAGGGATTATTGATAGGGAGCATGGGAATGATTTATGCAGTTTGGGCATTTCAGTCTTGGGTAGGAAGCATTCTTGTTACTCGGAGAGGAGAAAGTGGTGGCCGTATATTCATATCAGGAGTCTGTGTCATCCTAGGAGGAGTGTGAGTCACTTTCATTGATCATATTTCTGCTTCCTCATTTTTTATATTTTTAATAGTATATACACATAAATTTGGAACTCAAATAAAGAACACTACAACAGTTCATAGATTAAACAGGAAAATATCAATTACTAAGAAATATCAAATAACAAAACTGAAAGTATATGTTTGACTTCTGGAGTCATTGTTACTAGTTTAAAATTCCCCAACTAATGAGTATTTTCAGATTGAAGGTTGTGTAAATGATAAAGATTCTGCAAACCGTTTCAAAAAGAATTTGAAAATTTTTGAAACAGCATTTCTGTGATAAATTATACTCACCTTTGGAAATTTCTTTAGATATTAATCTTAAACCTTCAATCTTTCCATTCCAGGTCCATCATGAATGCTCTCCCCAATCTCTCATTCATCTCAGAGGCAACAACTGCTTCTACACGGATTTCTGAGATGATTAACCGAACTCCTGCTATAGACTCTGAAGATGGTAGAGGAAAAGTTCTAGCACATGTGAGAGGAGAAATTGAGTTTAAAGATGTTAGTTTCACTTATCCATCAAGACCAGATACCACAATTCTTCAAGGACTTAATCTTAAAGTGACAGCTGGTGAAACGGTAGGCATTGTTGGAGGCAGTGGTTCTGGCAAGTCCACAATCATTTCTTTGCTAGAGAGATTTTATGACCCCAACAAAGGAGACATTCTTCTTGATGGATACAAAGTAAAGAGACTTCAGCTTAAATGGTTGAGATCTCAGATGGGACTTGTGAATCAAGAGCCAGTACTTTTTGCAACATCCATTAAGGAAAATATTCTTTTAGGCAAAGAAGGAGCTCCCATGGAAATTGTTATAAGTGCAGCTAAGGCTGCAAATGCACACGAGTTCATCACCAAATTACCTGATAAATATGAAACTCAAGTATGGAATGCTTTTCCAGTCCTAAATCAAGTTAACTTAGCTTTTTATTATTGAACTTGCGTTGATGAAGTTTCATTGATATTTCAGGTAGGGCAGTTTGGAGTTCAATTATCTGGAGGGCAAAAGCAAAGGATTGCTATAGCAAGGGCTTTACTGAGAGACCCAAGAATACTTTTGCTGGATGAAGCTACAAGTGCTCTGGATGCACAGTCAGAAAGATTGGTACAGGATGCCCTTGACCAGGCTTCACAAGGACGAACAACCATCATCATTGCACACCGCCTTGCCACAATCCATGCAGCAGATACCATTGTAGTTCTAGAATCGGGAAGAGTAGTTGAATCAGGTCCTCAAAATGTGTTGATGCAAATGAACAATGGAGAAGGTGGGGCCTATTCTAGAATGGTGCAATTGCAGCAATCCTCAATGCAGAATGAAGACCACAATCGTTCCAATAGTCTAACAGAAGGTAGAAATGACCAAAAAATGATCAATGCCCACACCCCCCAGATCACTCCTACAAGTGCAAAATCAAGCTTGCAAAGTAGCCCTGCTTTCCCCTTCAAGCCTCCATTTTCCATTAGTGTACCACCTTCCTTCCAAACTCAAACTTCTGATGACAGATATGATGAGGGCTTAGATAAGTCCTCTTTTGCTCGTCCTTCTCAGTGGCGTTTACTGCAAATGAATGCACCTGAGTGGAAGAGAGCCTTGCTTGGGTGCTTAGGGGCTGCTGGTTTTGGGGCAGTTCAGCCAGTTCATGCCTATTGCTTAGGATCAATGGCCTCAGTATACTTCAATAGAGATCACTCCAAACTTAAATCAGAGACCAAATTCTATTGCATAATCTTTTTAATCCTAACAGTTCTTAGCTTCATCACCAATCTCCTCCAACATTACAATTTTGCAATAATGGGTGAGCGTTTAACCAAAAGGGTAAGGGAAAAAATGCTTGGAAATGTGCTTACTTTTGAGATTGGGTGGTTTGATAAAGATGAAAACACAAGTGCTTCAATCTGTGCACAACTAGCCACTGAATCAAACATGGTTCGATCACTTATTGGAGATCGTATGTCATTGCTTGTTCAGGTCTTCTTTAGTGCTTCCCTAGCATTTGTTCTCGGATTAGTGTTGACATGGAGAGTTGCCATTGTAATGATTGCCATACAGCCTTTAATCATTGGGAGCTTATACTCAAAGATTATGCTAATGAAAAGCATGTCCGAGAAGGCAAAAAAAGCACAAAATGAAGGAAGCCAACTAGCAAGTGAAGCAGTGGCTAATCACAGGACTATCACAGCCTTTTCTTCTCAGAAAAGAATATCGAGTCTCTTCTCAACTACACTGGAAGGCCCTAGGAAGGAGAGCATCAAGCAGTCATGGTTTTCGGGTTTAGGCTTGTTCAGCTCCCAATTTCTGACAACAGCCTCTATAGCTTTGACTTACTGGTATGGAGGAAGGCTGATGAATCAGGGATTAGTAACCCCTAAGCATCTGTTTCAAGCTTTCTTCATCTTAATGAGCACAGGAAAGAATATTGCAGATGCAGGAAGCATGACATCAGATTTGGTGAAAGGTAGCAATGCCATAAGATCAGTTTTCGCAATTCTAGACAAGATAAGTGAGATTGAGCCTGAAGACCCTGAAGGGATCAACATTGAAAATTCAATTAGAGGCCTTATAGAGCTGAAGAATGTGTTCTTCTTTTACCCATCAAGGCCTGATCAAATGATCTTCCAAGGCTTGAGTCTCGGAATTGGAGCTGGAAAAACAGTGGCACTTGTGGGACAAAGTGGTTCAGGCAAATCAACAATAATTGGACTAATTGAGAGATTCTATGATCCAATAAAGGGCTCAGTACTAATAGATGGACAGGACATCAAGAACTACAATTTGAGAAAGTTGAGGTCACATATAGCATTAGTGAGTCAAGAACCCACTCTTTTTGCAGGAACTATCCATCAAAACATCATCTATGGCAAAAATGATGCCACGGAAGCTGAAATAAGGAAGGCTGCAATTCTTGCTAATGCTCATGAATTTATAAGGTACATACCCATCTCCCTTGCCACATTGCAAAAGCAACAATTCACCACTTTTTGTCCCATTTAGTGAAACTAATGTTTAACGCAGTTCCATGAAAGATGGCTATGAAACTTACTGTGGAGAAAGAGGAGTCCAGCTCTCAGGAGGTCAGAAGCAGAGGATAGCACTTGCTCGAGCAATACTGAAGAACCCAGCGATCCTCCTCTTGGACGAGGCAACCAGTGCCCTTGATAGTGTGTCAGAGAATCTAGTCCAGGACGCACTGGAAAAAATGATGGTGAGTAGGACTTGTGTCATTGTAGCTCATCGCTTATCCACCATTCAAAAATCAGACTCCATAGCTGTGATAGAGAATGGGAAGGTTGTGGAACAAGGATCACACTCTGATCTACTTGCTGTGGGGAATCATGGGTCTTATTACTCCTTAATAAGACTGCAAAGCACCCAATCTTCTAAACCGTGAGCCAAGGTAATAGCCACATATGAAGCATTGTCTGATAGACTGATTCTGCATTGTCTGATATACAAATTCTTCTGTCTTCATCTAAGGGTCGTTGTTTTCTTCAGCGATAAAAAACCTCAATATCAGTGTTATTTCTGCGAGTCTTAAAGTAGTTAGATATGTGAAATCCGCATGAGTCCCACTTCATAGCTGTGTTTTGAACAAGTTGGTTAAAAATCATATTTTTTATACAACTATTCAGATTTAGTAGATAAGGGGTTAAACATGCTAAGTACAACACAATGATTAAATGACAAATTGTTTTATAAATGCAAAAAGTTGGAATTGAAGGTTCCATTTTCATCCCTTGTCAATGATGAAAATTAAAAATAAAAAAAAAATAAAAAAAAGGGAAAGAAGTTTTGATATACAAGTGTGCCAAGACCTAAAATGTATTTGTGAACAAGTTGCCTTATGGTTCCAGCCCAACGACGACCTACCGGTAACTATTGACATGTTCATTGTTAAGCTCGACTAAGGCTGGCAAGTGACAGTGAAGTTCCTAAATTAATTGGGAAGCAAGCATGGGGAATATTTAATATGTATTACATACTTTGGGTGTGTTTCTAGTTGCATGGAATTAAAGCTTTGGAAATGGGAATCTCAATTCCAAATTTTGTTTTTGTTTTATGTTTTTTTTTTTTTTTCCCTCAAACAAGAAAGAAATTGGAATTCAAAGCTTATTGGTGGCATTTCTACCCAAAAGAGACCAAGATCCCAACCAAAATATAATGCTAACCCAAAAACTTTTGGACTTTAATTATGAATGAATAAAAAGAAAGATAATAAGCATTTGCAAATATATAGCTGTGACATCTTCCATTTATATTTGGCATCCATGTGCATCTCCCACATTCTATATGCTAAAAACATTGTACTTTTCCAAAATTTATATTAAAAAGTCATAAATAACACAAACAAGATTATGTCCATCTAAAGAACAAATATAAGACTCAATATCTTATGCAATTGATAGAACAAGATTATGTCCATCTAAAGAACCAATATAGGACTCAATATCTTATGCAATTGATAAAAAAAAATAAATAAAAAATTCTGATTCCGTGATTAGAAATATGAACCAACACTAGCTTGGTCTCTCATCAAACACCAAATAGGCAATGACAGATCTGCCTTTTTCTGGTTTGATAACTGGATGCTACATCAAATTAAGCAGTTTTTTATCATCAGACATTGTTCTAAACTCTATATGTCAGAATAAAACACAACTAGTAAAGAGATAATAAATGGACCACATTTCCACCACATGGACACAAGTATGTAGTGAATTTGAACATAAATAATTCCATTTCACTAAACTTGAAATATACCAATAATTTAACCTTACATACATCTAAATCCACTTATTATAAGCACATACTGAAATTCCCTTCAATCTGCTAACAATCTTTACAAGAGACATACAATCAGATCTAACTTCAAAAAAAAAAAAAATACCAGAGTTCTTTGATTTAATTCTGTCAAAAATGAACTGAAAAATCCAGGTCTGCCGAATTAATAAAACCCTATATTGATGTGTGTGTAAGCAAGAAGAAAAAAGAAATGGAAGGGAAGGAGGAATGTAAAAAGACCTTCGGTGAAGAGCGATCCAAACATTGAGTTTATACATGGACTGCCAAAAAATAAAGGCACCCAGAGTCATCGCGAAGTACGCCCCCACTTTCACCTCCTCCTTATTCGATTCTTTTCACTCTTACTATATATATATATTATATCAAAATTAGTTGAGTTCTAAACAATTAAATCGACAATGGAAACAGAATTCAAATGAGATGGTGGAATTGAGATAGCATTATTACGGCAAATTGATGAACTACTACTATCTTCCTGTCCTGCCCTAACATTCCAAATTCAATACGAAGACCACGCCTGCAAAAGACCAGACGATGCAGTTTTACCTAAATTTATGGGATAATTCCAAAAAAATGGAGTTTTGGAGGTTAAATGCCAAAAAAAAAAAAAAAAAAAAAAAAATGGAGTCAAATTACAGTTTTTCAAATAAATAAAGTTTTATAAAAAGGCTGATATGGACATCAAAATTTGTTACGAAATAACCCAACTGCCCTTCTATCTCTTTATCATAGGATTGACGGAACAATTTTGCTGGTTCCTTAGAGCATGCCGGATGCGCGCGAGGAAGCCCCTTTTCTGTCTCTCACGTTGCAATCGGTCTCCCAAACTGACTGACTCGTGGATTACATTGAACTGGTCTCTTTCAGTTTGGTCAGTTGGCTGTAAACCACGAAAGATGGATATATCTTGGCCTACTTTCTTTTGCCCTTCAGAGGGCATGCATGCTTTTAATGAAGTTAGAGCGAAGTGAGACTGAAATCTGAAGAGGTTCCATAGACCAAACTTCCCCCCGCTGGCTCATGGAATTGAATTCCTTATTTGTTTTCCTTCTTTGCCCAATCGTCTCATAGTTGTTAAAGGCTCGTGAAGGCTCAGCTAGAACGTTTCAATTTACTACAGAATAGACCCCTTTAATCAAGCTCGTATAAAGCCTGTTCACGCGTTTTAGTTGGCTTCAGGCTCAAAAACAGACTGCATTGTATTTTTTAATCATTTATTTATTTCATATTTTTTTAACTTAATGACTACTAAATTAAAAAGTTATGTATCATATATGTATACTTGGTTATGAATATATAATTGTACTATTATTAAATGTACAAAGTGTTCAGTATTTCAATATTTATTTATTAATTGATATAAATTATATAACACTCAAAATTACCTAATAAAATTAAAATTAGTTCAAATTAACAAAATATAAAAAGAGTTTAATTCAAATTACAAAGTCCAACATTGGTTTTAAGTAAAAATGATTACATGAAAGTCTCTTATAAAACTATAGAGTTAAAGAAATAATAATCACACCTTCTCGGCCGTTTGGCTCAGATCAAGTGTAGTACTAAATTTTTTTTTTATCGGCCTTTTACTAACCTTTCTTGGTCTTTTGGCTAAGATCAAGTGTAGTACTACTTTCTCTGTGCGAAGAGTTTCAGTATTTATTTATTAATTGATATAAATTCTATAAAACTCAAAATTACTTAAAAGAGTTTAATTCACAATAAAGAGCTCTCATTAATTATTATATCCCACGATATAAATTCTATAAAACTCAAAATTAACTAATAAAATTAAAATTCAATCTATAATCAATTGTGCTTGACCAAATGGTCCATAAATTAACCTATTTATCTATTTATTATTATGAATTTTTTAATATAAAAAATCTAATTAGAAAAGAATTATTAATATAAAAATATTTATTAATTGATATATAAAACAAAATAATTTTTCTAAAATTCTACCATAAATTAACTTTTATTATGAGTTTCTTAGTAAAATTAAATTTAATTAGACAAGGATATATTTAAAGAAAATAATATAATTTCTATAAAATTCTATCATAAATTACATATTTTATTTTCAATAAAACTATATCACACTAAACAAAGAAATATTTAAAGAGTTTCTATAAAACTCTAACACAAATTACCTATTTATCTATTTATTATGAGTTTTTTAATAAAAGGAAATCTAATTAGACAAGTATTGTTAATATAAAAAATTATTTATTAATTGTTATAAAAAAAGGTTTTAAAAGAGTTTCTATAAAACTCTAACACAAATTACCTATTTATCTATTTATTATGATTTTTTTTTAATAAAAGTAAATCTAATTAAACAAGAATTATTAAAATCAAAAATATTTATTAATTGAAAATTACCTAATAAAATCATGGAAAGTGTGTTTCAGTATTTATTTATTTATATAAAAATATATTTATTAATTGATATAAAAATAATTTTTGTAAAAATCGTTTCTATAAAACTCTAAAAATTACCTAATAAAATCAATCACATTCTATATAAAACTCTAATTTTTAGTCCAATATAAAAAAATTAAAAAAATATATAAAAAAATAGTTATTTTTTATGAATAATTATCACAATATAACCGGCCCGACCTAATTATGATTATGTAATTATCATAAAAGGACACATGTCATCGTCTTATTAATCCAAGAAGCTTATAAATAGAGGCATGGAGGAGGGAGGAAGGGGAACAGAAATTGAGAATTCTAGAAATCAAGAATTCCACAGTAAAATACAGAAACTCTGCCAAAGAGTTTCAGTATTTATTTATTTATATAAAAAAATATTTTTAATTGATATAATACTATTATTAGATGTGCAAAGAGTTTCAGTATTTAAGTACAAATTACCTATTTATCTATTTATTATGAGTTTTTTTAATAAAAGTAAATCTAATTAGACAACAATTATTAAAATAAAAAATATTTATTAATTAAAAATTACCTAATAAAATCATGCAAAGTGTTTCTGTATTTCATTATTTATTTATATAAAAAATATATTTATTAATTAATATAAAAATAGTTTCTATAATATAATAAAATCAATCACATTATATATAAAACTCTAATTTTTAGTTCAATATAAAAAGAATAGTTATTTTTTATGGATAATTATCACAATATAACCGGCCCGGCCCAATTATGATTATGTAATTATCATAAAAAGACAAATGTCGTCATCTTATTAATCCAAGAAGCCTATAAATAGAGGGAATGAGAATTCTAGAAATCCAGAATTCCACTAAAATACAGAAACCATTCGGCCGAAGAGTTTCAGTATTTATTTATTTATATAAAAAAATATTTATTAATTAATATAAAAATAGTTTTTATATATAATATTATTAGATGTGCAAAAAGTTTCAGTATTTAAGTATTTATTTATTTATATAAAAAAATATTAAAAACACTAAAATCTACATAATAAAATTTAAATTAACCTATTTATCTATTTATTATTATGAATTTTTTAAAAAAAGAAAATATAATTAGACAAGAATTACTAAAATAAAAAATATTTATTAATTGATATATAAAACAAAATAATTTTTTTAAAACTCAACCACAAATTATCTTTTATTATGAGTTTCTTAATAAAATTAAATCTAATTAGACAATGATATATTTAAAGAAAAATAAAATAATTTCTATAAAACTCTATCACAAATTACCTATTTTATTTTCAATAAAACTCTATCACACTAGACAAAGATATATTTAAAGAGTTTCTTCAAAATC